CTTCAGTTCTGTTGCACAATAAACTTTGTGCTTATCTGCAGCTGCTTCAGCTTGTGTCTGTCACTAAAGTCAAAGATAAAGAATTTCTGTCCACCTCCTCAGCCTAAGGTTCTTAATTCAGGTAGTGCTGGTAAGCTTAGAGCAAAAACCATTGGAGAAATTATAGAATTCATCTCCACCTGGCTTTGTTGTAACTTTATAATAATACTGTGTATGGCACCACCTCTGTTCCTTGGTACACTCTTCATGCTCTCTTCAAACTGCCTGACTGTAGTTTGGAAATACCCAAATTTAGGATGACAAATTTAGGATGGTTCTTTCTAGTTTGGGGCATGGGGCAGTTCTGTTGCTGGGTGTCATTTGTTCTGTACCAGTGCCTGAGTTGTGATTTTCAGCTAAACTAAATGTGTGCAGGTAATGGCAGTGAAACGTTCATGCTACCCCATGATCTTTTCTCCTCCTTGGATTATCAGAGCTCGAGGAGTGAGTCAGAACTGCCAACTGTGAAACTGGGCCTGGAGGGAATGAGCACCAGAATCCCACTGAATAAACCAATATATTTTTGGAAGTCTGTACAGACTAAATAGAAGGCAAGGTTATTAGTTTATGAGGAAAAGCAAAGCAAGGGAGATGGAGATGTTTTCATGAATGTGAACACTTGTAGTTGTGGGCTGTGTAAATTGTGGGAGAATGGCTGTCTCCCAACTGACCTTTACCTGTTGTAACAAAAGTGCTTTTGCTTTCCTTTTTAACAAGACCCAGCCCTGTGCCTTGCAAATCTGATTTGATTTTATCAGACTCTTGTATTTTTTTTCTCTTTCACAGATCTGAAGTTCCATGCGTTAAGCAAAGGACCAAATTTACATTCATCAGCAATATTATATTGTGAGCAGGTCCCTGTGCTCATAATGGCAAATTGATCTGGCCTTGTAGGTTGTATTTATCCTGTGGATTCATTTTCTTACACTAGAACTTTTCATTTGTCAGTAGGGTCTTAAACGTATACATTAATGAAAATGCAAAAACTGAATACATATAAATTATGGAAGCTACTCTGCATGTTACAAACTATATCTTACTTAGTTAAGCTTAATGAATGTTCCTTAAAACTATTACTGGCTTGGCTCTCCATGTGTCTCATTTGTCTTGGCCTAGATAAATCAATTAGGCATGTCTTAAGCTTTGACATAATCTATGAAGATACAGTTTCCCCAGATAGAGCATATTTATCTTCATTTTTTAAAGATAATACCTAGATATTCTGTCACCTTGGGTTCCCAAAATTTGCATGTTTAACTGTTTTCCTTCATCTATGTTTTCCTCTGACCCGAGTTTAAATGGAATGTAAGTCTATAATTTTATTTTTTAATTGCAGAGGGATGGTCCTAAGTACAAATGCACTTGTATTTCCAATCTGCCTTTTCATCTATTTACACAAACAATGCCTTGTTTTAGAAAGCAAAGTGAAGCTGGTGCATTAAACCCCTTTTCCCTTTGTCAAAAATGTGAGAGGTACATTACAAGTCTTCATCCTGCAGCTGCTGAAACCCTATATAAAATATAACACACCATTCACTCCTTTATTGCTGGAAAACTGATTTTTTGACCCTTGCTGCCCTCCTCCTGCCTGCCTTCCCCTGCCATTGCCAGCCTTGCCATCAGCAGCCAGCTCAGGCAGCTGTGCATGAGTATTGGAGTAAAAATAGTTGCAGAGTGGTTGTCCACAAGTGTACTTGCTAGCATTAGTAAGAATTAGGATTTCTTGCTAGAATTAGTAACAATACTGAGCAGCTGATGATGAGGAATGGTCGTACAGCCATACCATCCTCATCAAATCTAGCTTAAGAGCCTGGATTCCAGCACTGCAATGAAAACCAGGTCTGGTGGAAAAGATGGAATTCAACATCTGAATTCTGAGCTTCCAGCTGTAGTGATTGGAGGAGAATGTGTGATTTGATGGGAGATTTGGGGGGAGACAGATCCCTGTTCTGTGAGGTTTGTAATTGGCAGTGTTCTAAGAGGGAAGCTGGCAGGGAGGGCAAGCTTTGTGCTCCTGGGTTAGAGTGGACAGGAGTCAAGGCATGGAGATCTCCCCTGGGATCACACAGCTGATGGTGGCCCTGTGCAGCTCTTGAAGTATAAATCCTGAGCCAAATTCTGATCAGGCTGCAGGGGTGAAGATCCCAGTCCACAGCTCCCCTCTGGGGGTTCCCAACCCTGCTTGTCCTCTGCCAGCCACAGCTCTGAGCACAGACATTGGGCTGTGGAATGGAGAAGCTGAGCTCCTCTCCAAACTGCATTTTAGTACAGATGATTATGATGAGGACAGCCTGCTACAGCCATTCACTAAAGAATTCAGTCTGCTCTCCTGTCTGTGGGGCTGTTGGAAATGTTTGTCAGTGTGCCTGCTCTGGACTCATTGTGCTAGCCTGCCTTTTTGTGTGCAAAACCATCAGGCCAAAGAGCTCACTGACGTATTTGACTAATGATGAGTGAGCCCTCCTTAAACTGAAGCTGAAATAACTACAGTGAAACCTTAATGGTGTTTGAAAACTTCTGATTAACTCTTCTTTTGCAGCAAGTTTAGATCTGCTTGTCAGTATTTCTGACAAAGACAGAAAAAAGAGTAACTGGAAAATAGCACTTAAAAAACCTGCAACAACATTTTCTTACTTGGCATATTTCAACAGAGTAGCTCTTAGAAACCAGCTTTTCTTCACTGTGACTGCTTAGGACTTTGAGGCATTACAGTAGAACATATCAACTTTGATTCTTGTTGTAATGAGGTTTTTTGCAGGATTTGTAGTAAAATAAAATTTGGAGTAAAACTCCAAATGAGGAACTGGGGGAAATTAAGCTGAGCCCATCTCAAATCACAGCCTTAAACTTGGTGATTGCTGGTGTGGCCCAGTGTATATAAGTTGGGCTTACATGACCTGCTGAGCATCTTCAGTTCCTGTGGCTGCAGTCACAGCTGAAGGTGTTGGGTGTGGCTTAGATTAGATTGGTCCTCTGATGAGTAATTAATTACCTGAAACTCCATTAGCATGGCTTTCTCCTGAACTTCTAATTAGTGTAGCTCTGTCCTTTTCTGTGCAAAACCTTGGAATCCATGAAGCTACCAAGAGTAACTGACTCTAGGTGTGGTAGTGGTAAATTATAAAACTGTTTCTGTAGCCCAAAGAAAGATTAATTGCATTTTTATATATTATGTATTTTTTTTTTCCTTCTTAGGCTGAAATGCCAAGGATCTCACCTGTGCACCTCAAAGCCCTTACTTCCTAAACCAAGCTGTCATCAAACAAACTCCAGCTGCCCTAAGCACACCTATCTGATTTTATACAATCTCACTAAAAGCTTTGTTAGTAGTTCTGAATGGCAGAATCCCATTACTTTATTTGGAACCCAGACTGATGGGGCAGAGGTTGCCTGATTCATCTCACTTACTGGTTTTAAATATAGCCACAGCTTTTGGAGTCCATCCAGGCTTACAGGAATTATTGAAAATCAGTTCTGTTTCTTCAGATGACTCTCTTCATTTGTACTCTAAAGATTTTGTTTTAATAAGAGCTAAGTCACGAAAAGAGAGGGAAAGGATTGTATCACTCTTGTGTTAATTTATTTTCCAAATGTAAGCTAGAAACACTTGTGGCTGTTAGCTTCTCCTAGTAAGATTGTAGACATATTCTTATGTCCTGTTAGTATGTTCCTTACTGTTGTTTGACAGATATTTTTATCACAGGTTGGTCCTGGGGTACCTTGGAACTCATATTTCTGTTTCTTGCACGCTATTCTGATTGTCTTCTCCCCCCTCTTTTTATAAACATCTGTGTCAAAGTGGAAACCAGGCAAGCTGTAAAAACTGAGTGCTTCCATTTTGCAGGTTGGAAATCTCAACTCCTTTTTGTACCAGGAAGCTTTTTTAATAAAACAAAATTGTGTTCAAAATTGTGACCTTCAGATATGAAACTGATGGAGAGTCTGGCGAGCTCTGGCAGCACTGGGAGTACCTCCCTGGGGGAGTGCAATACCCTGGGGGTATTCAGGGTGGTCCTGGATCCAGAGTTCTGGACATACTGCACATTGTGGGAGCCAGAAGATTCTGAGCAACTTAATAGGCAAACAGAAAATTTGGTTTTCTTAGTCTTGTTAACTTAATGTAAAAACCTATCTGTCACACAGACTGTCGCAGTCTTCAGTATCTCCCAAAATTCACAGGACAAGGTATTCTGTAAGCTTTAGTCCAGGGGCTCCTGAGGTTTGAGAGAAACCACCCCAAACCCATACACACCAAAAGAGGACTCAACCCCCTTCACACAGCCCAGGGCAGTACGTGAGCTCCCCAAATTATTGCTTGGGTAATTCACAGGTTCATGTTCCTGAGTACCTCGTGCCTAAGAGCAAAACAGCTGAGGAGAAGGGTGCTGGATCTGCTCCCACAGCTTTTTGGGTAAGCTGGTAACACATTTCTGTGTTCTCTCGGGAAGGGAGATGATGGATCGTGTCTCTGTGAGTGAGCAGGGGACAGAAGCTGCAGGTGTTAGCATTCAGGAACACACATAATCTCAGAATCATTACATGAATGTGCTTTATTGAAGAGCTCTGGGTGTCAGGGGCACACAAACACAAATCTGACCCTCCTTGGTTTTGAGCTGAACATGTTTTATACACTATCATTATGTAACTTACATATTAATTATTAAACTTACATTGTTCTATTGTATGCACTGATTTTACCCTAGCATGGATTTCTCATGATCCCCCCCAAACCCCTAACATTGTTCCTCATGTTTTTTAAATAATAATTATATCTAATCACATCTAATAATTGTATCATTTATCATCTACTGACTACACAGGTGCAGCTTCACATGATCTTAGCAAGCACAAGGCCTAACATTTCCCAGGACCTGCTTTTAACACTTTTCCCAGGGCTTGCCAAGCCTTTCTTTCTAACTCCCCGAATTTTCTATGATTTTAAAACTTTTTTTCTATCACAGGGACAGCCACAGCAGAGAGGCTCCTCCTGTCCCCTGCACCCCACGCTCCTGCTGCTCCAACACCACTGCACATCTGAGACTCAAGCTGTAAAAATACTGTTATAAAGAACAGTTTTCCAATTGATAGAAATAAATGAGATGATCTTGTGCTTGAATGTTAGCATACATTTTAAGGAAGTTAAGAGGATTGATTTTATTTAATTTCTGGAATAAAAACTTATCGGAGCAAAACACTGCTTCCGTATTTAAAATTTTAATATTTGCAGCCTCACAACTGCATTAGTTTTTAATAAAATTGCCTTAATCTGGCAGTATGCTGAAAGCAAATAGTGATAGTGGCACAGTGGAACTAGAGTAACAAAACTGAAGGCATTGTGATGGACAGCATATATATTAAATTACATTTTTCCCCTCCATGCAGTGATTTAAATAGTCAGCAGCTCTTGCAAGGAGTGTTGTGCAACAGTGAATGAAGAACTGTTCAAAGAACCTCATTGAACCAAAAATCCAACACATCTCCCTCATCCCAGAAAAAAAACAATAAAACAACCCAAAAGCAAACAATGAAAAACAGATCTGACCTTGTCTTGCTCTGAGGACTGACTGGCTTTTAAATGGTCTGTATGTGTTTTCCATGTGGCTCTAAAAACAAATCTGAGGACTGACTGGCTTTTAAATGGTCTGTATGTGTTTTCCATGTGGCTCTAAAAACAAATAAACCAAATTGTTTGGTGTGTGTGATTACTTTTTTAAACTAAAGACTTCAAAATATGTACTGTAAATACTTCATTTACAAATTTAATTCTCTCAGAATGTTAACTTTTCTTACTAAAACCCACAGTACTTTGCTGTTTCCTGACAGTTAAGTGGGCATTGTGTGCCTCAAAATTTGCATTTCTTTTTTATCTGCAAGTGTGGGTTTTTTTTAATGAAGCATCAGAAATTCAGGGACAATGATTTAATAGCTCAAATTTGAATCATTCCTTGGGAGTCAGTGAAAAACTTGGTCCTGCAGTGATGCAATATAGAATTTCCAACACTTGAAGTGAAATTGTAGGGCTCATGTCAGAGCAGTCCATGGATTATAGAACCCTCAGCTGAATTACACCCAAGTCTTTCAAACAGGAATATTTGCTTTGCTATTCCTGTACAGTGGCAAAGCAGTCCTGGAGGTTTATATAGGGAAGATAAAACAGTCTCTCATTGTGGTTTTTTTTTGGCTTACAGACACTAAAAATTCTTCTCTTGCTGTGAAGGAACTGATAGAATTAACCTCACCCACAAAACCATCTGAGCTGATCTGAGAATGCATTCCAGGTAGCATAAATAAAATAGAACACACACTGATTTTAATAGTTTAGGTTTTCTTTTGTCAGGCAATAGAAGAGTATCAGACTCCCCTTTAATGCTTATGTGTAACATCAGTAGAATTGAAGCTTTTGGTTGTATAACTTAAGCCAAGACTGGTTTTTTTTTAAAAAAAAAAAATATTTTTTTTTAAAAAAAACACATTGTAAATTGAGAAGCAGGGAATTTGAATACACAGTAGATGGTTTGTGTTCTCTTAGAATACAGATGACAAGTGGAGAAGGACCATATGAACACACTGAATGTTTATGAGCAGGATACAGTGGAATGATTTTTGAAAACAACTTTTCATTAAACACCATTAACCAAGAAAAACTAGAGGTCAAACATTTTTCTTTCATAGAGGATTTGTTTTATGCCTGTAGTAACTAATTAGATGACATATTGATTTGGTTTAAAGGGGAGGGGTGATAGGACTTCACAAAAACAGACTTTTTGTCTTTTTTCTCTTGTCTCCAAACATAGTTGTTGCACAACTGTGACTGTAATCTGATATTTAATTTATGTGATATAATTAGTGCATTTAATAATTTAATTACATGCAATGTAATTAACTTTATAGATAGTTTTGAATGTTCTGATTCTTTCTGCAGTTTGAAAATAAGTAAATTATAAGCCCTAATCACTAAATAACATAGAGGGTTTATTTTAACTCCAATTTTGATTCCTTTATGTTGGGATTATAGCCTGTCATTTCTTGCAGAGTATCAGCAAAGGAATATTTTTCAGGATTAGTAATTTTATCCTTAGTATAGACATCTTCTCAAAAGTACTTTCTTCTGTGAAATACTGGAGGAAGGAAAAAAGGCATGTATTTAAATAAATTACTAAGAAATTGATCTTCTGTGGGGTTGCCAATCACAGAGCTGTCATCAGCCCTCCCTTAAGGACCTGGTAGATAAGTAGGAATTGAATCAATGTGCATTTTTTACTTTGTTTGAAGAACAAAGGAGCACACCAACCCCCCAATATAGCTTTTAGCAGAGCTGCCAGGAGCCAGGCTGGGCTGATGGCTCATCTGTGAGTGCCACCTTCCCTTCTCCCTGGGCCAGGGCACTCTCAGCACCAGCAGCAATCTATTTCCTTGTCACCTTCTGGCCCACTGCAATGGGCTTAACGAGGTCAGGAAACCACAGAATGGCAGAGGGAACAGCAAGACCGGGAATAAAGTTGATGTGTGTAGGGATGGCCTTATTTCTAGTGGCTGCAAGTTGCCTAACCCTGCCTTTTCGACAGAAGTGCTCTATTCCTCGCTTGTGCTGTCTCCTTGGGTGCTGTATCCTTGGATTTCACAGCCAAGGTGTGCTGATCCTGCAGCACCTGGCTCTCACAGCCCATGTGTGCTGGCCAGGCTCCAGTCTGGCTTTGGCAGCTGACCTAGAACAGCCTGTGGGTTCATAGTGCTGCAATAATGAGAATATTACACAGGATATTTTAAAACAGAGTGCTATCTCACTTGTGGCCTTCACAGAAAAACCAGCAGTGTTTCAGTTTGATCTGGTAATTTATTTGGCATTCATCTTGGCTCACTGATAATTCAGCAAAAACACTCCACAGCTGAGAACACTCCACTATTGAGAAAAGGAGGTGAGCTGTGGTTGGTTGGTTTGCTTTGTTTTCATTTTCCTTATCTCTTGGAGTCTTTGCTCCCCAGTAACCCTTTGCTTGTACCCCAGCTCTTCCTGTAACAGTAATGGCTACACCTCACAAAATATTATGTTTGCCTTGCTATCCCTGAGCTGAAACATTGTCTAAACTCTGAACTAACCTTAGGTAAGTAGGCAAGCAATACTCTGAAACTTGTGAAATTGTGGCTTCAAAGGAAAACTAATTTTCTGGGTGTGCTGTGCTGTCTTGTATTGCTTAATCAGCTGTGATCACCAACTGATGCTTTTTTAGCAAGACAGAGGAAAATCTATTCTAATGGGTTTTGCTGCACTGATTGTGCTGACTTGGTGATTCAATCTGCAAAGTTAATTGAAGAGATTCATTAAATTGGGTGGAATTTGAAAGATTTTAGTGTTCTAAGCTTCAGCCCCTCAGGCTTCACACAGAATGAAACACATAATCAGCTTTCAGTAAGCACTAGTTTTCATTAATCATAAACTGTAGGCAAAGTTGGAGTTTGCAAATTTAGGTCTTTTATTGTTGTTTCATGTTAATGACTATTATCTCTTATTCCTATTGTGTGTGACTCTCTCAGCAACTGTGTTAGCACAGATGGCTAAAATCCCTAGCAGAAAAGTAATCAGCATTTGTGAGCATGCTGCACTCAAAATAAATGACAGAGGAGAAAAAATGCATTGCTTCAGAAATTAGGAAGCAGATCAAACTGTAATAATGCATGTAAACACGTCCAGGAAAGCAGGCTGCAGCTTTGTTTTCAACAAAATTCTAACTCAAATATATGTAACCTTCTGTCAAATTTATTGATGGTACAAGAAGCAGCTTAAATTAAAACTGGAGAACAACTGGTTTCATATAAGTAATTTGGAATGCTCTTTTTTTTAAGCCTATCAAAATGTGATATAATTGACATAAATTAGTACAGTGGAGTGAAAGAAAGAGCACACAATCCTACAGATCCTAATTATCCCATTTTAACTGCAATGTGACTAAAAGTTACAGCTGTTCACAAACATTTCCCTTCGATCACTGTGTTTAATGTAGTAACTGGAGACACCAGGAGCCTTAGATTTAAACTCACTGTGTACCTTTGACTCCTTAAACCTAAACCAGTGGCCTAAGACCTGCTCATAAATCCATAGTGGGGGTGATGGGGGTACAGTGCTTGAGTTCACATGGCACATCAGCTGCCATACTCTTGTGAAGAACTGGGTGACTTGTGCCTTCTTATTCATATCATGAGGCCTATATTGCAATATATTTGCTCAATGAGCAAATTAACTCATTGCAACTTCTCACCTTTAATTTTGTTAGTCATGGCCCCAGTTAAACGCTGTAACAATAGCTGAATTCATGCTGTAAGCAGTGGGTTCAATCTAGATGTCATTAAGGCCTAAAACAAAAGAGTATTTTTCTTACAATTCAGTGGCTCTTTTCCTGTGTAATTCCCATGGACATTCCCCTCCACCCTCCTTTCTCCAACATGTGCATATTGCCTGAGTGCTGGCTGGTGCTGGGTGTGGAAATTGTTGTTGTTGTCCTGGAGAAGACAGGCAGTAAGCTGGCAAGGAAAAGCACAAAGAAGAGTGGCAGCAAATCCAGACACTTCCCCAGCGGTAGAAATGAAACCCAGGAGTTCAGGTTTGTGTTCCTTTATTAGATTAGTAATGAAAGGTGTTAGAAGCATAATGTCAGCTTTTTCCTAGCATTTCCCAGCACTGGTCTCTCAGGATAACAGATGGAAGGTGGTGCACAGATTTTGGTTAAGTATGGTTATGGCTGATTTATGGTTGTCAGGTGTGTGTATAGGACATTATATTTGGGTTTTTGTTCTAATTGATGCTAAGCTATAGTTCTGCTCTTCTTCTTCTAAATAATCACATGGAATTTTGGTTTTAATCCAAAGCTGGCCTTCATTTGGCAGCTCATCACCAGAAACTTTATTTCCAAAGTATGCAGTGTGGCTTAATCCTTTCCACTGGCTACAGACAGAAAGGCTCCAGGATGGGGGACTATTGCAGCAGTGTAGTACGTGAGAAGGGCAGCTCCTTCTTATTTTTCTCTTTATTTAAAAAAAAATAATAATTCTTTAAAGGCAAGCTTTTTCCTGCTTCGTGCCTGCAGTGTCCTTCCTCAGGGGGCTGCTGTGCTTGAGCAGCTTCTACATTGTGCAGAGAGGTTCTGCAAACAGGAGATGTTTGCGAGCCTAAAGCAATTATTTGTTGGCTACACATTCCAGCAGTGGAAAGCTGGATCTAACCTGCAGCTGCAGTACCCATTCCAGTGAGACTTCTGGGGCAGCTTTTGCCAGACTGCCTGCTGTCAGTGAGCTGCAGGAGCTGGTCTCAGTGTTTCTCCAGACTGGCAGGGTGTCTCTCATGGCTGAGACCCCATTTTGACAGGGTGATTTTCCCCCATGTGGTTTTATACCTTCTCAGGCTGCTGTCTTTTCCTTATGAGTTCAGGAGGCGCTATCTCAGTCCCAGCAGTCTCAGCTCTGCCTGAGACTTTTCCTTGTTAATGAGTGCATTCTGCCTGGTGTTTGCCAGATGTGTCTCACACTTTGGCAGGGTCTCAGCACCTGGGAGAAGGTGGCACTGCAGAGCTGCTCACAGGCACCTTTGCCCTGGGAGGATCTTTACAATAAACAATTACAATTTACAGTAGGTGAGCTCTTGTGCTTGTTTTCTAACAGGGAACAACTTTTCATACCTCCCTTACTGATGTAGGATTTTTCAATATACAAATACTTCTCTAAGTTTTTTTCTTTAAGACCTGAAGCACTGAGCAAATCCTGCTGCCCAAGACACTTTGAGCTGTGACAGGAACACTGGCTCAGTGAAGTTTGTCAGAGCTTTCTGCAAAGTTGGTGTGCTGCCTGTCACATAAGGGTTTTTAGGAAAGGGAATGGCTTATGAACCAGAGCTGATTGGGACCAATCATGCACCTTCTTTTCAGACTATCTGAGAGTAATCAGTGAAACACAGCATTAAGTAAAAGAATTATAATGAAAATTGGGTAAGCAGTTCTGGCTCACTCAAAGTTGTCCTGAGGAAACATTTCATACAGGACTCCCAGATGACTTAATATATGATAAAATTCCCTGTCCTACCATGCATTGATGAAGGCTTATTTTAGAGAATTAATCTCAATTTTATATATTTTTCATAAAGTTATATATCTGTTCCCAGTGGTTTGTTTCTCTGCTAATATTTCTGTGATTCTTACCCACCATCAATAACCTGGAAATTTTTCCTTCAAAATGTTAGGTTAAAAAAAAATAGGTATTAATGTACATGAACTGTGGTTTGCACAAAACTACTTTAACCCATAGTAAAGTGAGGTACAACATCTGAAGGACTCATAATTCAGTTTCCTTAAATTTACCTTGATATTCCATTTAATAGACACCATGAATTGGTATGTCACATGTGATGATTCTATAATGGTTCACTGTATAGCATAGGATTTTTTTCTTCTGATAATCTTCATTGTCTATTACCATCTCTCTGAAATCAGTAATCAAGAAGATCCGCTTAATTGATTCAAGTAGCACATATGTAGACACAGAAAGTTGAATATATATTCCAAATATGTGTCCTGGAAACTACTTAGAGCCATTTTTGGGTTCCACTATCAAGCTAGACTGCAAATGACTTGTTGGGGAAATAGCTTACTGATTTTTTTTAGAAATAATTTTCAAAGATTTCCTAGCATGCCTGTCCAGACTTGAAAACTTGCTCTTTTTTAATATTGGAGATTTTATTTAAATCTTATCAGTCCCTTTTAAATGCTCCATAGATTTCAAACCTTCTGAACACAGTACCTGCTCTTGTTCAGTGCTAAAATAAAAACCTTGTATTAGCAGCCAATGGATGTTACAGCAAGAGTAAAACAATGCTTTTTCAATGAAAATAAACACTCAGAGAGATCTAGAGCAACCATATTTATAATAAATAAATGTATATTCAGCAAAAATTGCACAGAGGAGTGAAGGATGCAACCTTGATTTAGTCTTGGGCATTCTGTCTTGGTCACAGCCACTGTAGCAGTGAAATTCTCTAGATGCTTTTAATGAGGGCTGTTAATTCTGTGTTCTCTAATGGTATTAATTTTCTAGTATAGAATACAAATAACTTGCCTTCTAAGAGAAGTTTCATGGCTTATTACAATCTGTGTGAAATGTTTTCTGTCACTTATGCAGCTGTCTTTATTTTTGGCCTTGTTTCTTTCTGATGATGGTGTACAGCAGCATGCAGACACAGCAGGGCATCACAGGATGGTTTGGGTCAGAAGGGACCTTCAGAGGTCCTTCAGTGCAACCCCCCTGCCAAGATCATATTTGTATCTTCTGCTTCTTTTATTCTTGTGAAAAGGATAATGTTGAGATTTTTGTTCTTTCATTAGAAAGTAGTGGGGGTTGGGGGGCCCTGCTTCCTATTTAGGTTTTTTGTGTTTGTTTGTTTGTTTTTTAATATCAAAACCAAGATTATGAAATGTTAATATTAAAGAACATCTGCAAGAGGACTTTTCCTTCCACACTTTTCTCCAGTAACTGAGCAATTGTGGTAGTTACATGAGGTGTAAGTGAGCTGTTCAGTTCCCACTTTGAAAAAAGATTTCCACTTCCACATGGCCCATCTCTCTAGGCAATTAGCTCTCCTTTTCAGAGTTTATCTACTTTAGAGCAGAAGGAAAAGCATTTTTTTAATCCATTCTAATGAGGCTTTGCTATCCCCATGGGTTTCCAGAAGAAATGCAAATATCCACTCTGTTGGGCAGAATTCTAATAATGTGATGAGCTGATGAGGGAAATGGAGCCTTAGGAGTAGGTCCTCAACAAGTGGGACCTTGAGATCCACTCTGTATTCTTGTTGGTGATTAATAGCCATGAAAACCCTAAACAGATAAAACTGAGAATACTTCTCACCAGGGTATTGTAAGGAATGGAAATCAGAGCGTTACCCTTGCAGATGGAAACCCTAGGAGTTTCCAGAAAGTTCTGGAAATTTCATCTCAAGGCATAGTACTTAACCACAGGGTTATGGATTTTAAAAAAGGCACACTTTGGCTTCATCTGTCTCACCTGATGCATTTTGCATGTGGGGTTTTTTTTGTGGCTCAAGTCACAAAAAGCTGCAACTCAA